GTCCCTCGATCCCGCAGTGTCCTGCCTGCAGCCCGTTTCAGTGGTGTTCCCAGCACCAGCATCTTCAAGGTGGGCACCCGGCTGTAACAGCTTGCAGTGCATGCATGAGTAGTGCTGCGCTTTCTGAATGGTCCCGTAGTCTTCTGGGACCTATCGCATGTCATAAATTTAGGCCAAAATGTATTCTGCTAAATGTGTTTGGTAAAACAAAATCCCAGTAAGTGTATATTGATTGCTTTGTGTGAAAGTTATAGTGTCTACAAACTATGGTGTAGATACTGGAATTTAACTTTGAGTTTACTATATATTTTTTTAGCCGAAAGTAAAAAATATTGTTTTTTTAAATTTCACAAAAAATTGTTTAAAGCACAAAAAATAAAAAGCACACAGGTGATCAAATACCACCAAAAGAAAGCTCTATTTGTGCCAAAAAAAAGACATAAATTTTGTTTGGGTACAGCATTGCATGACCGCGCAATTACCAGTTGAAATAGTGCAGTGTCGAATAGCAAAAAAAGGCTTGGTCATTAAAGCTGGTAAATCCTCAGGATGGCAAGTGGTTAAAAAGCCACAATCCCCAGGGCACTTGAAAAATAAATTTTAAAATCATCCGCTGTAACCAGCAGTAGTATCCAACCAGTGGAATGTGTGCCCTAGGCATTTGTGACATTTTAAAGCTTTTACAAACAATATATTATAAATTAAAAAGACTAGAAATAGTTATTTAAGTTGTAGTAAACATCAAGGATTGCTTTGAAAATATTTCAACACAATTACACAATAAACACACATGAAGTCAAAGGGTACTTGACATATGCAGACATACCCCAGGTGGCATTTGGCAAACATCTTCCAGGCAATCATTGACAATCATTGTACATGACCATTAATACTGGCTGATTAGAGTATGTACAAGTGACACTAAATAGCCCATAGACGTTGCCACTTCATTATCTATCATCATGATGTGTTAAATAACATAGCACTCTGCTCTTGGTTTGCAGAATCAATTGCCAATTGAAATTTATGGTCTGAGTACAATGACTGTGATGAGCAATGTTAAATGGGCAGCCCTGTAGAAAAAGGTAAAACAGCTACATCATTCTAATGTGGCCTTCAGGAAGTAACTCCTGCACCTGTCAGATGAATGAGCATTTCCTTTAAATGAACCTCAATACTGTGCCACGCCAATTGTTTCTGGACAGCAAGACTCACTGGGGTGCAGAAAAATGATAAAGGCATGGTGGTCAACATGTGTCTCCATACATTCAAGAGACAGAGAAAGAACACAGCTTTCAGGATATTAGTCCTGAAGCCAATTTACTAACTTTTAGTGCTGATAGACATACTCAGCACTAAAAAATATATAGTAAAACTCAAAGTTAGTCATAAATTTAGGCCAAAATGTATTCTGCTAAATGTGTTTTGTAAAACAAAAACCCAATAAGTGTATATTGATTGCTTTGTGTGAAAGTTATAGTGTCTACAAACTATGGTATAGATACTGGAATTTACACAGCTTTTACTTTCTGACTGCCTAGCACATTTCTTGAGGTGCTAAAATACCAGGACAGTATAAACACCCCCAAGTGACCCATTTTTGGAAAGTAGACACCCTAAACTATTTTCCACAAGTTTTTGGAAAATGACAAAAACATTTGTTTTTCTTTTACACAAAGTTGTCACTTAAATGATATATTGCTCACAAAAGCCATGGGTATATGTGGAATTACACCCCAAAATACATTCTGCTACTTCTACTAAGTATGGGGATACCACATGTGTGAGACGTTTTTGGAGCCTAGCCACATACAGGAGCCAGAAATCCAATGACCACTTTGAAAGCCTGAAGGTTCATACTATAACTTCCTCATTTCACTTCCTCACTACCTATCACAGTTTATTGAGACCCTGAAATGCCAAGATAGCACCAACCCCCCCCCCCCCCAAATGACCCCTTTTTGGAAAGTAGATACCCCAAGGAATTTAAAAAGAGGCATGGTGAGTATTTTTCAGATCTCATTTTTTCTCACAAGGTTTTGAAATATAAAAAAAGAAAAGAAAAAATATGTTTTTGTTTTCTTTCTTCATTTTACAAAAACCTGTGGCAACAAACGAGATCTGCAAAATACTCACCATGCTTCTTATCAAATTCCTTGGGGTGTCTACTTTCCAAAAAGGGGTCATCTTGGCATTTCAGGGCCTCCGAAACTGTGATAGGTAGTCAGGAAGTGTAATGAGGAAATAAAAGCCTGAAGGTGCTTACTGGATTTTGGGGTCCTGTACTTGGCTAGACTACCAAAAAGTCTCTCACATGTGGTACCTCCATACTCAGGAGAAGTATCAGCATGTATTTTGGGGAGTAATTTTTCTTTTTTTTTTGTCATTTTCCAAAAACTTGTGGTGAAAAAAAAAATTCTTCTATTGACTCAACATGCCTCTCAGCAAATAGTTCATGATGTCTACTTTCCAAAAAGGGGTCAATTTGGGGGGTGGGGGCATTTTACGTCCAGCATTATAAGTTTATGCCACACCTCACTCACTCTTCTAACCACCTGAAGACAAGCCTTTTCTGACACTTTTTGTTCACATGAAAAAAAAAACTGTATTTTTGCAAGGAAACTACTTTGAGCCCCCAAACATTATATATTTTTTTAAAGCAGACACCCTAGTTAATAAAATGGTGGGTGCTGCAATTCTTTATGTTACATAGTACTTGCGCAGCGATTTTTCAAACGCAAATTTTTTTAAACAAATACACTTTTTTTAATTTTAATGCACAAAAACACAATATATTGGCCAATTATTTGGTAACTTATGGAAGATGATGCTATGCTGAGTAAATAGATAAAAAACATGACCTGCTTTAAAACTGCGCATGCCCCATGCAATGGCAACAAACTGCATACATTTTTAATATCCATAGGCAATGCTTTAAAAAGCCTTTACAAGCTACCATTTTAGATTTACAGAGGAGGTCTAGTGTTAGAATTACTGCCCTCGATCTGACGTTCACGGCGATACCTCACATGCATGGTGCAACCGATGCAAGGTCAACGCTTGTGCACACATGTGTGTGCACATGGGAAAGGGCGAGTTTTTTTTTTTTTAAGTTATTTTTATTTTTTAATTATTTTTACACTGTACCTTTCATTTTTTTTTATCACTTTTAATTCTATCACAGGGAATGCAAATATCCCCTATAACTTCAAAGGGCATTGTCATATATTCTTTTTTGAGAAATCTGGGGTCTATCAGACTCCAAACCAAAATCAGTGTGATCAGATGCTTTCCCAATTTACAAATGGCGCTGTTTATATCCTGCAAAACTGAAGTGATGAAATGCTCGTAGCCTCCGAGTTCTTAGACTATAGAGATGATTGGCACCATTGAGGTCTCCAATCAGCTCTATGGTCAGCTGGCAGAAACACCGGCTGCATTCTCAGGTTCCCCCAATGGCAACTGTGAGCCGTGGAAGGCAGCGGGTGCATCTCCCACTGCTTGTAAAAGCAATCCTGCAGCTATTTAGCCACTAGGATTGCTTTTACATGAAAGCCCACCGCCGGCTGAAAAAAAATGATACAAGGATGATGCCTGCAGCTGCAGGCATCATCCTGGTATACCCACTCAAAGTCCAGTTGTGTACCAGTACATCGCTGGTCCTTGTTGGGTGTATATGCTGTTCTTTTATTTGTACGCAAGCTGTGGGCTGAAAGAAAAAAAGAGAAGAAATCTCTGCCAAAAAATGTGTGTGGTATGCCCACCATTAAAATATACCTCCTTGCGTCCACCCACTTCTAATGGTGGGCACACATGAAATTTGCCAACAAATATTATAAAATATATATGCCGAAGCATAGGGGCCATCCACCCAGTGGCCACCCTAGGCCCTCATGATTCGGCACATATGCTCTTTTTTAACTGCGGTTGAAAAATCTCATCCAACAGCGCTGCCCACACTGACTTATGTATATTCTGAGAGCAAGTTCCTGTTGCTGTCAGAATAAACACGATGGTGCTGCAGCTGAAAGCATTGCTGCAAAGAAAATAGCAATGGTTAACAATAAAACAGTAACAATAAAATAGTAAAAGTGTAACAGTAGAACAGTAACAACAACGACAACAAAAAAAAAACTATAACTATTTTTGTTTTTTACAATTTTAAATTTTGGGGGGACTTTTTTTTTTTTTAAACTTTAACTGTTTAAAACAGATTGTAGGGTCTCTCCAAATGCGAAAGCCAGTTTCCTGACTACCTAACATCTTTTCGAGACCCTGTGTAATTATGTACCCTCAACTGTGCCGTGCCGTACCCTATACTCCATAATACTCCACTAGTGTGTGTGGGAGTGACGGAAGCAGTCCTTGAGGCAGAGACCAGGTTGGTCAGGACAGGAGGAACAAAAAAAAGCTGGTGTCACACCTAATTCCATGTCTGCTACAGACACATCTTTTTTGGGGGTGCCTTTGGGTTAGGGTACCAGGAATGGCATTGGGAAAATGCCTCTCATGCAGCCAGCTAACTGCATCTGGGTTGGGGGTTTGGGGCATAGCACCTTCTGGATACAAAAGGGCCGTGAATATATCTCTTCCTGCAATTTTAGGAAGTATCCACTTTGTCCAGTTGCTTTGTAAAGCACAAAAGCGTTATATAGAGCCAATTGACATAAATAAACAGACACTTTTTTGTACCAGCGTCTGGTTTTTCGGGAAACTAAGTACAGCTTCATCATCTGGTCGTTGAAGTCCACCCCTCCCATGTTAAGGTTATAGTAGTGAACATAGAGAGGCTTCTCAACAACACAAGCTGCTGTGGAAATTTGGATGGTCATGTCTGCGTGAATGGAAGACAGGAAAAAACATCCAGTTTGTCCTTCCACTTCACTACGAGAAATTTCCTCATTTCTCAAGCAGGCTTTTTCCCCCTTTCTAAGACGGGTATTTACAAGCCGTTGGGAGAAGCCCTGACCATTAGGTCGCATGGTGCCACATGCTCCAATTCCAAGATTGTACAAATGTCTAAATAGTGGCACGCTTGAACAAAAACTTTCACATATAAGTGGTACCCCATATTGAAAAAGGATGACACCAAGTCCCAAACTATATTGCCACTGCTCTCCATGTAGTCTGGACATCTGGGGGGGCTCCATGTGACTATCTTTTCTCTCGTAAATCCAAAACTTATATGTATAGCCTGTTGACCTCTCACAGGTCGTATACATTTTGACCCCATATCTGGCACGATTGCTGGGGATAAATTGTTTGAATGCAAGGCGACCAGAAAAATTAATGAGGGACTCATCAACGAAGATGTTTTGCTGGGGAGTATAGACATTTGCAAATTTTTGATTTATGAGGGGCTGAATTTTGTAGAGCTGGTCAAGTTCAGTGTCACGATGACAGAGTGTGTTGTCATTGAAATGCATAAATGCATTTTACTCTAATCAGAGGCGTTCCTAGGGTTGGTGTCACCGGGTGCGGTAACATTTGGTGACACCCCCTCCGACGATCCCTGCAGAATGGATCGGATCTGCAGATTGAGCATAATGGATCGGACTCCAATCCATTATGCTCAATCCACAGATCCGATCCATCCTGCGGGGATAGTCGGCTTTCTTTACAACTTACCTTTTCTTGGAGCTGGTCCGGTGTCACCCCATATAGGTTGCATGCCAACGATCCCTGCAGGATCCCGCTCCAAGAAAAGATAAGTTGTAAAGAAAGCTGACAATCCCCGCAGGATGGATCGGATCCATCCTGTGGGGATCGTTGGCTTGCTTTACAACTTACCTTTTTGTGGAGTGGGTCCGGTGTCACCCCATGTGGTCGGTGTCACCACACCCCCCCCGCACCTGCCTTGGGACACCACTGACTCTCATATCTATGCCTGGCCATGGCAGCAGGCAACATGGGCACATGATGAATTGGGTCTGTGGACCGATACAACCGCAACTGACTATTTTTAGTAATGCCCATGTTGAGAGTTAGGCCCAAAATAACTTTAAATTGGGAGACCGTAATGGGTTTCCATGCGAATGGTCTGGCAAGGTTTGAATCTAGGTTGGCGGCAATAAACTGTTGTGCATATAAATTGCTTTGATCCACAATTAATGCATCCAGATCTTCCGTGAAAAACAGCTCCAAAAAATCAAGTGGAGTATTTAAATTTGCTGTTTCCACCTGAATTCCGGGTTGGGCAGTGAATGAGGGAAGTACAGGTGCTGCAGAATTAGTGGGCTGTCAATGGGAATTTGCAAGCACGTCCGGAAGGACACCTGGGATTCTATGGACCTGTGTGTGAATTCTTGGTGGCTGCGGGACACTACTTTTGCTCGCCACCGCACCAGCTTGTACTGCACTTATGGGACTTGCCACTTCACCAAGTGATACTGCAGTGCTGGTATAAAAAAAGCCCAGGATATACTGGGCCGCTGGTGCTCACCAGTTCACCAAAAGGTAGATAATACAGCCATCAAGGAGAGATGTACTCCATGGTGTTATCTCTAATTATATGTGCAGGGAGTATTGCTTGCTTATAGCTTCTTCAACGTGTTTCACAGGACAACTGTCTGCTTCTTCAGGAAGCAAGCAATGCATACATCTCTGAAATTATAAGATAATGCATCAGAGCAATAGAAACAATATAATTTTATGTATGAATCTCAACTTTCTATCACAGTGGTACTGCTGCTATACCTGTTGCAGATGCTAACAAAATATATTTAAATGCATGAGTAAATGGGAAACTGCTTGCGTTGGGTGACACCAGTGAAAGGGACGGATCTTAGTATCTCTAGAACTTCTCACAGTGCAAGAGAAGGTTATCCTTCAGCCCAGGTTCACACTGATCGGTGCAGAATTCGTACCATTTCTGTGCGATTTCTGCACCACATCATGATAGCATCCCATTCATGCGAACCGCTGCTGGTGTGTATGTTAACAAAACTTCGAAATTGGTTCACGATTCGCAGTGTGATGTGCAGAATCGGATGGCATGGGTGTGAATACCTATGCGATCCGATTCTGATGCAGACAAAAAAAGGATCCTGTACTATTTTGGTGCAGATGTGGTGCGATCTGAGCCATACAAAATGTATGGCTCAAATTGCACCACACAGAAATTGCATGTGATTTGCACAGGAATGTGTTGCAATTCTTGTGCGAATCACATGCGATGTGCTGCACCACATCAGTGTGAACCCAGCCTCAAGTATTCAATAGTGAAAACTGGGAATAATAAAATGATAAATATTGGTATATTCTCTGATATAATAGATCAAGAGAGTAGAGAAATGAACTAAAATAAGCTTCAGCTAATCTCTTAAATATGATTTTCTTGTGTTAGGCCCCTTTCACACGAGTGGACCGATCGAGTCCGCCTGTCTGTTTTTCAAGTGGATCCGATCGAACGCTCCATTGCTCTCTGTGGACTGCATCCAATCCTGTCCGATACAAACAGACAGATGGAGATTCGTTCCCCATCCGTCTGGCTGATTGGATCAGATGACAGTTGGATGGAAATGGACAGGTGGTCTGTTTCCATCTGATAGCCCATAAAGGATAGTGGGCTGTGTCCGTGTCCACTCTGCATAAGTGGAGTGGACACCAACTTGTCATCCGCTTGCTCAGCAGGGATCAGCAGGCAGATCCCCCTCCAAGCAAGGAGATCCACTGATGGGTCCATCCCATGTGAAATGGGCCTAAGGGTTTCTTGTTCTCCAATAGTGCATTCTAAGGGATGTGGTACCACGTGTACTTATACATCTGCTCGGGGGGAGCCTTTCTACTCCTATAGCTACTGGTCTCCGTGTCTGACCCCTGACAGTGACAACTGGATACATAGATTATTTGATTTGTATTGCTTCAGGACAAGAGAGATGTATAATGCACTTTTGATTGAATTATTTGAATTAAAATGTAAATGTAAAATTCACAGGCCATGCACATAATTATATCACATTATTAGATTCCATTTCATTTCACAGAGATGGATTTATGAACATTAAGGGATTTGTTTATAAAACTTCCTTTGAAAGTATGTCTAACATTTCTTGACCTGGCATGTAAAAGTGAATTACCTGAACTGGATTAGCCATTAACTCTTTGGGGTTTAGTTATAAATCATTTAATAGATGAATGGCACATGCATTCATCCAGGCTGCAGAATTTTTTCTGGTATTTTCATTAATACTATTTCCTTTGACCGTCAGCTCTATCTAGTAGACAACATGTGGTATATTTTTCTGAATTAACTCAATCAGAAAATATACCACATTTTGGTCACTAGATTGCACCAACGAGCTGAAGATCTTAGGAAATCATAATATTAGAGAAAATTCAGAGAAATTTTGTGCAGCCTGGAAAAATACTTGTCACATTTGGCCAATGAATGTTTTATAAAGAAACCCAGTTCAGGTAATTCACTTTTACAAGCCAGGTCAGGACATATTAAACATATTGTCAAAGGAATTCCCATTGAATATTTACAGTATTTGGTTACACCAAAATTGTAGTTCTTTGAAGAGGCTGCAGATAAATTATGGCAATGATTTAAAAAAAGAGGTTATACAATAATATTTCAAACAGAGCTTTCGACATTGCTATTAATAACTATAGACAGGAATTGATCATAAAGAAGAATCAAAAGAATAAAACTAACAATTAACACAAAAAAGGTGTCACTGAATACAGTCTTGAATTCAAGAATATAAAAAGAATTATACAAAAGTATTTGCCTGAATTATATGGGGATCCTGTTTATTTTGAAAGTTTGAAATAGTGTAAAATTGATAACTAAAAGAACTCCTGCTATAGGTAATTATTTATCCTCTAGTATGGTTTTTAAAAAGAGGGGGAAACACTAGCTAGTTAAGTGTGAAGGACACATATAGATGCGGCTACAATCGTTGTCGTTGTTAAACGCTTATAAAGTGAGTAAAGAATTGTTGTGCACATCACTGAACAAGTCAATCTTTAACAAATGTTTTATTAGTTTATATAAGTCCTCCAGGACTTCTCCAGGGCGTCACCCATACTCTGGAACTCCCTACCCCAATCCATCAGGCTATCACCTACTCTCCTCTCCTTTAGGCACACCCTGAAAACCCACCTCTTCAGGGAAGCCTACCCCACCCCCTGCTAATTCCCGACCTCCTCCACTCCTCCTACCACTCCATCCCCCACAGCTATTTCCTCCTGTACCACTATCCCCTCCCTCCTAGATTGCAGGGCCCTCAAACCCCTCGTGTATTGCATTGTATTGTTATTGTACTGTTGCATGTTCTGTCTCCCATTGTAATGTACAGCGCTGAGCGAACTGTTGGCGCTTTATAAATACTGTATAATAATAATAATAATTAGTTGTAACACACTTTATATTATCACATCAGGTTACAGTCAACTGTGAATAATGGCTCTAGAATTATTGCCCTCTTGCCAGCGTGCACAGTGTAGCATGTGTAGAGCAATCAACGCTTTTGGACATAATATTATTATTTATTACATGTACTTATATAGCGCTGTCAATTTACACAGTGCTATACATATATATATATTGTATATTCACATCAGTACCTAACCCTCAAGGGGCATACAATCTAAAGTCCCCAACTGACATTCATACATACACATACTAGGGCCAATTTAGACAGGAGCCAATTAACCTACCAGCATGTCTTTGGACATGTGTTTATGTTAGTTATGTTTAGTGCCTGGATGTAACTTAAAAATAAAGTTAAATGAATAAACATTTTTAAAATTTAATCACATAGGGCAGTGATGGCGAACCTATGGCACGCGTGCCAGAGCTGGCACGCAGAGCCATCTCAGTGGGCACGCCAGGAAGAAGAGCATGATGAGCGCGCATGGACCGGCCATCCAGATCTCGTCCACACTGGACCCCCATCAAACTACATTTCCCACATATCTCTGGGGCCAGGGTGGGCGTGGACGAGAGGAAACGGCTCCAATGCGGCTCTGGCACCAGGGGTGATGTACCCGGGGATTGGCGTGGAAGAGAGGAAGAGGCTCCCACACTGCTCCCACACTGCTCCGGGGCCAGGGGCAACGTGTTCAGAGTGGATGGGAATGAGCTGCTGGGTTGGAAGCCACACCGACGCTGCCAGAGGTGAGATTAACTGCTTGCAGTGTCACCTGTCAGTGCCCAGCAGTGTCGCCTGTCAGTGCCCAGCAGTGTCGCCCATCAGTGCTGCCCATCAGTGCCATCCATCAATGATGCCCAGCAGTGCCATCCATCAGTGCCCAGCAGTGTCGCCTGTCAGTGCTGCCCAGCAGTGCCACCTGTCAGTGCTGCCCAGCAGTGCCACATGTCAGTGCCCAGCAGTATCGCCCATCAGTGCTGCCCATCAGTGCCACCCATCAATGATGCCCAGCAGTGCCATCCATCAGTGCCCAGCAGTGTCACCCATCAGTGCCCAGCAGTGTCGCCTGTCAGTGCTGCCCAGCAGTGCCACCTGTCAGTGCTGCCCAGCAGTGCCACCTGTCAGTGCCCAGCAGTGTCGCCCATCAGTGCTGCCCATCAGTGCCACCCATCAATGATGCCCAGCAGTGCCATCCATCAGTGCCCAGCAGTGTCACCCATCAGTGCCCAGTGTCAGTGCTGCCTGTCAGTGCTGCCAGCAGTGCCACCTGTCAGTGCTGCCCAGCAGTGCCACCTGTCAGTGCTGCCCAGCAGTGTCGCCCATCAGTGCTGCCCAGCAGTGCCCCATCAATGATCCCAGTGCCCAGCAGTGTCACCCATCAGTGCCCATCAGTGTCTGCCCAGCAGTGTCGCCTGTCAGCGCTGCCCAGCAGTGCCACCTGTCAGTGCTGCCCAGCAGTGCCACCTGTCAGTGCCCAGCAGTGTCGCCCATCAGTGCTGCCCATCAGTGCGACCCATCAATGATGCCCAGCAGTGCCACCGATCAGTGCCGTCTGTCAGTGCGTCCAGGTAGGCAAGTGGTTAATTGCAGTGTTGGCACTTTGAAATAAAAAAGTTGGTTTGTGTTGCAGTTTTGGGCACTCGGGCTCAAAAAGGTTCGCCATCACTGACATAGGGGAACAACCGTCCCCTGTGTGATAGCATTATGTTTAGACAGGTTTCTTTAATGAAACAAAACAGATCAGCATATCTCTATGTATGGGGTGCATGTTCACATTTAGTCGCAATTTTATAGACTCAGTAATTATGAAGTGTTCTGTTAAACCACTTGAGTTCCTAGGCTTTTCCCCTCCTAAAGGCTGGCACACACCAGCCAAATATTGGAATATCGGCTGGTATCAGTCAGTCCAACAGAAACTGGTCAAGATTTGGCCAGTGTGTACAACAGCCTGTCTGACAGAAGCTGGCCTAACACCTGTCTTCTGTCGAACTGGCATGCTGGAAAACCGTCCGGCATCCAATGAGTGCTCGCAGCCAATAGCTGTGAGCACTGATCAGTGTGTCCTGGTGGGGGGGGGGCT